ACAATCTAAAGAGAATTGATTTTAGTATATAAAAGGCGCCCACAGGTCTTTAATTTAACAATTGCAATTAGCAAAATGAGAAATAAAAAACAAAAGATATAAATACAGTTATCTGGTAAATACTTAAGATGTCTTTTCATGCTGACACTCGACGCTCATTTTTAGCGTCAAAATTACGTGATTATAGTTGGCTTGCACGAAAAGTGGCAACATCAATTTTATTGTCAATCGTATATCATTCGTACCTAAAATATTCAGAACAAAACAACAATATAGCCTTTGATGCTGAAGCTGAAAAAATCTAGCTTCTTTTTTTATGCTAACGTCAAAGTCGAAATCATGTGACTATCAAAAATCCAATATATTGATTTCTTTACTGTTTACGTCTTACTGCTTAAATTTTTTTGTATGCCATGGCTCTAACCCTGAAACAAGCGTCTCATGAATTTGCATTTTTAATCTCGTAATTCTGCGTTCGGTAGCTGCTGATCAGCAGGTCACTCTCACACCCGGTGTGCATACCGCGACGGTTGCTCGGGAAAAGGTAAGATTCCTCGCGGTAGGCACTGAAAATTTCAGTGGCGGTAGGATTTTTCGGCGCTACGTGCTAGTTTGCCAATGCAGCCAATTGACACAGAAATTAATAAATATTTAAAAACATATTCTAACATTTTTTGTGATTTCTTCCTAATTTCTGTGCTGGTTTGCTAGTAACTGTTCTTTGTATTTGTTCAATTTAATTATATTCAGCAGCTTTGTGAAGATATCAGCCAATTTCGTTCGTCGGACAATATTTTATCTTCACGATGCCGTCTCTAACTCGTGTACAAATCTGAATTTTACGTTTATAATACATTTGCTTTTCTTTGAAGTTGATTTATAAAAATAATTTTGTTTTTAATTACTGATTACTAAAAAATTATTGTACTAATTTTTTTGTTAAATCTAACTTACATCAAAATAACAGATTCTATCTTTAACTTGATCTCTCTCTCTCTCTCTCTCTCTCTCTCTCTCCTGTGTTGGAAATACTATGTAAGTTAAATCGACTTACACATTGCCGTCGAACACTTTCATGTGGCAAGAGTTTGACGATGGCTGATTTCTTCTCTATAATTTTACAGCCACCTTGATCACGAGAAAATTTGACAGTAATCCTGATGATGTCGCTGGTATAGTTGTCACCCTTGCTCGTGGCCGCGTTCGAGAACGTATCGATTATCTGAATCGAATTGTCGCCTTCCGATTTTCGCAGGATATTTTCCACGAAGCATTGATTCAGCCATGACGGTACCTCTAGAGCCATTTCTGAAATTAGAATTAAGTTCGAAATAAAGGGTATGCAAAAATGACCTTTTGGAAACTGTAAGGCAATCAAATAAATCGTAAACATATCTTTACGTATTTTGAATCGTAGAATCCAAAAATGACCATAAAAATTACATCCGTAGCGGGGAAATTTGGAAAATGAAGAAAAGTGGGAGAAAGACGAAATCATTAAAACTCACGAATGTAATTTTCTTACGTTTACTTTTATGTTTTCTTGCGTATTTTGAGTCACAAAATCTCGAACCACTGTCTAGGGATACTCAAGATATGTACAGGGTGTGCATAAAGTTCCGGTTTAAAGGGTGTATAAAAAGTATTGAGACGGTAAAATATCTCGAAAACTTAGCATTATAGGAAAAAGTGTTTCAGATAAAAGTTGTAGTGTTTCAAAACGTCTATTTACTGGCGTTATTAGTTTGACCTTGAGTGACGTTGTCAAGGTCAGGACAAGATCACCTTGAATTTTTTTTAATAGAAAAGATTACCAGATGATCTAGTCAATTAAGGACATACTTTCGAATTTCGATCTTATCTTGGTTGGTTGGATCATCTTTTCGATTTTGCCTTTATTAGCTAGACATTTTATCATAAAAAACTCGATAATATCGAAATGGCTTACTTAAAGTGGATGAAATTATAGTGTTTTGAAAAGATCTGAAGAAGGCTACAAGAATTTGCAATAAAAAATAGGGGATTCCATTTAAAAAATTTAAAATGACCTTGTCCTGATCTTGGCGACGCCACTCAGGGTCAAACCAATGTTATCACTTTATGTCCCTCTCAAAGCCATACAACTTTTGTCTGAAACATTTTTTTTTAAGATCAAAAATAAAAAAGTTATTTGCGGTTGGACATTAAAATAAGACACCCTGTATAGATAAATCTAATTCTTATCTAATTCTTATCATAGTCGATTTTTTTAATTCGCGATTGTAATAAAATAGCGCTTATTTGAATATAAAAATGCGAATTATAGTTTAAAAATCGATTAATTTTTTAACTGTAAAATAAAACTAATTATAAGACATAAAAAAATCTCTATGATAAATTGTGAGTATTTTCATGTTAAGTAAATAGAAAAAAACCCGAATCTGATTCATTTACTTTTTGTCAAAATATTTTGAGTACCGATCCGAAAAACACGATTTCGAGAAAAACATTCAACATTTTTAATTTACTTTTAGCTTTTAAACAATATATAAATGATTTTTTTTTACTTGTACGGAATCATCTATTCTAGGATTGTATAAATCTTCTATAGGAATAATAAAGAATTATGAATAATAAAAATACATACAGTCGAACAAATAAACAGAGTTCTGTAAATCGATTTCGTTTAGCGGTGCTTATTCGACATAGCGTTTATTTATTTAAAACGTTATAACTTTTTTGTGCATTTCGATTGCAATTTTAGAAAAATATTCTTAAGATGTATTATAAGAAAATGCAAAAATTGAACGTTGATTTTTTTGTTTCACCTGGATCGGTATATGTAATCCCTAAAATCTCTTTTTGAAAAAAGAAAAAATTTACGCTAAGTATATAAAAAAGTACCATATGTTACTGTTGGATTTTTGGCTGGGGTTGGGTATGCGAAATATACTGGAACTCGATGTTTTGCTTTAGACACAAAGGTAATATATATAATTTGTTGATACAACAATTACAGAGAAATTGCAGTTCTCATTTGTTTAACGCCAGACGATTCACCGAATCGTTTCTACTCTTTTCGTTCGACAGCGCTTTCGCGGACGACTACTCGGCACAGGTGCTCCGGCAAGAATGGAGCATGTGTGGTTGCTCCGGACGTTACAGCGTTACATGCGTTACGTCACTTCCGGCACGAGTCGCGCCAGTGACTCAAGCTCGCGAGC